GATTACTTCACCGGATTTAGCTTTTATGCATCCAGAAACAGTACAAGCGCTTTTTCCAGTGATTTCTTTGATGTTTTATACATTGCATTTGTATTACTGTTTTTGATCTCTTCAACGATTTCGCAATTGTCAATTAACTATTTTTCCTTTGCCTCTAAGCACATTTTTTTATTGTTTTGTCCAGCTTTTTGTAACTTTCAGGATTGCAACCTTTCACTTTTCTTCGTTCATCCATCAGAGATACGATATCATCTGTTATCTATTTATGACTTCTTTTTTGCTCTTTTACAGGTATAACTTCCCTTGCTGATTCTATGAGGGCATCTCTAAATATTTAATTTTTAGATTTATTTACGTCTTCCTTCAATAACTGAACAAAATTTCAAACTTTTAAATGACTTTAATGAAAATATTTCTAAAAATAATTTTGTCCTAGAAGAAAAAAAGTTGTTTAAAATATGCGCCAAGTTGTACAATTTATGTTTTAAACTATCAATATATTAAATAGTTTTTATTTATGTGTTTATAGTTGGCTAAACACCTATATGAAAATGTATATATTTCTACATCATATTTTGCTCTCTCTCTCTCTCTCTCTCTATATATATATATATATATATATATATATATACATATATTGAAAATCACAGCATGTTCCGCGTAGTTAACTTTCTGTTTAATTTTTCAATTTTTTTAACGATAGATCGTAAATCATTGTCAAGTTTCGTGAATTCAAAACCAAAATTTTTATTTATTTTAAGCATGATAGAATATTTAAACATGATAGAACAATAAATGCTTTTTTCGGCTTTTTTGTTCTATCATGCTTAATTGTTTTATCATGCTCAAAAAGATGTGATTTTCATCAATAATTTCATTTCTGACATTCTTAATCCAATATATATATATATAAATAAATAATATATATATATGTGTGTGTTGTATATATATGCATGTATGTATATGTATATAAATATATATAAGTGGCATAAATATGGTTGTATATTTTACTTGTGTGCATTGTTCTGGCACAGGACTTTTTCATGCTACCGTGGTAGAGTATCAGGACCGTGATAATACAATCAAACAAAACTGTAAACATTTTAAATAGAATTAATCTCACCGTTAGTTTTTAGACTAAGTTTCTTATCAGTCTGCGTCTGGGGACATCGTTATTATTATAATGATGACGTTGATGTAATTTTGCTGTTTATTTCGCTTTTAGCGTTGTCAAATAATTATATTACTGAAAAGTTGTTACAGCAATCTTTCATGGTACTTCATTGGATGACATTAATGAAGATGATGGCAGATCTGAAGATGATGCTTGTTCTGCTCATTGTAACTTTTCAAGACATTTTGATAAGTAAGACTGCATGATTTCCTTACTTTTTTGTTTTATTTTATTTCTTTCATTCATGCCGCTATTGATAATGTTAATATAAAAACTGATTGGATTAGTTGTTATGACTTAATCATTTTTAATTTTCATTACACAATCTGATTATCAATTATTTTACTTTCGTCTATAAATAAATAAATGAATGACATTTGTATATTGTGAAACAGACTGCACAATTCGATATCTCATTTCCAATTTGACGTTATTTTAACATTTAATTGTGTTCTCATTTTCATCATTCGTTTCAAAAAGTTAACCTTCTTCAAACCATTCACCTAGGCACATTGTACTTGTTTGCATACCTCACTTTTGATTTTACTTAAAACTCTTAAGGCCGTTTGAACAGGCGCAATCAATCCACACTCGTTTGATAGGCTGCTGGCTGTTTGGCCACGTTTTTGTTGAAATAATCCAACTCGCGCAAATTCCAGAGTAAAACTCGAATACTAAGTAGATTCGCAATGAAACTGACAGAAACTTTTGTAAGTGACATTTTCCTAAACGTGTTAGCGTACAAGTTTAAATTCGTCGACTTAATTTCATAGATTTATCGTGTCCTTTAGTCTGCCTAACTTGATATTAATGAATGCGTTAGTACTGAATAACCTTTGCTGCATCTTTCTGATTTGATTGCGAAAAATTAAAATTTTTTTAAAAATAACTGTGCATTACAAAATCTTATGAACAATTTTACTTGAGACAATTTTACTGGCATTCGTTCGAAAGGCAGAGCGGATGTTGTACAGGCACCTCAATTTTTGACTGATGAAGTTTACAATGCGCTGGTTGCTGGAGTTGGAAGTATTAAGTGAGGAATTCTAGAAGAACACTGCAATGAAGTATAGTTGGCAATTTCAAATTTAATCTTGTGTTTCCAACACAATTTTTCATTGAAAACTTGTTTTTTTAACTTTTCAATAATTGATTCTAATCACTTGTTTTTCCTTCTTGCGTATTTTTTTTGCCACACGGATTACTTTTTTAAAACTTCATTCAGCCTCATAGCTAGTTCTTTTTTGATCAATTAAAGAAAGGATATTTAGCTTAATTTGTTTCAATATTAAATAGCAACTAATGAACCAACTGACTCTAACAACGCATGCTCAATTTTTATTTAATAGCGTAAAAGTAAACGCCTCTGAGAACGTGCTCTAAACAATGAAAAAGTTTCAATTAAGGTTAATTTATAATTCTAAATATGTTTCTGTTTCTAACTGTTTTTGTTTGTTTTTTTATTTGCATTTATTAAATTTTTTGAAGAATAATTCAATAGTGCAGGACGACAGGCAGTTACAAACAAAAAAAGTTTGCCGCTGAAATACGATCCTTCGTTAATTGACCCCGCCTCAAATCTGTCAATCATCATTTCTCTAGAACACGCAACTGTAAGGTGAACAGGTGAACAGTAGCCGGCAGCTTTGACACTTGAGATAAACCAATATTTCCACCCCGCCATTGATGGCCCCACCATGGCTGGATGGACCCACTTTGACGGTCCTACCATTGATGAATGGACCCACTTTTATGGGCCCCCCATTGATGGATGGAGTCACTTTGATGGGCTCCCCATTGTTGGATGGAGTCACTTTGATAGTCCCACTATTGACACATAAATCCACTTTGATGAACCCACCATGGATGGATGGATCCATTTTGATGGTCCCACCATAGCTACACCGTGATGAAAATACAACTCAGTATCCCGTCAAACAGTAGCACAAAATAATATACTTCAGTGTGAAGAGCGCCAGACAGAAATGCAAAATTATTTTCCATCTTGAAACATCAGCCATGGCTACAATGTGATGTGATACATGAGACGCAAACTTTTTAGTAATTTTATTTGCAAATGTTTGTGTGTGAGCGCGCGCCTGTGTGCGTGCATAAGTTGGTAGGCGCTTGTGTAGATGTGTTTTTCCAGGACATTAATGTGCTTGCTTAAATAATTGTTTTAGATACAATCTTTCTTTCATGATTTGTTTCTTAACACGTATGAGTTGTAGAATATATGCTAAAATACAAAGGCTCATACAGACAGTAAATATAAACTGCTTCTTCATGGCGTAGGTTGTAGGTATTTGAATGTTGATACGTTTGTGCCGGTATACGCATGCATTTAGAATATTTTATATGTTAGAATGTTGTGTAGTTATGTGATGTTATACAATGGACTGCCTTTCCTACATTAATGATGAAGGTTGATGTGTGCACGTAAGTTGCATTACAGTGAGTAGAGTAGAGTAGAGTAAGAATGTCGTATGTTTGCACATTGTGAAGTGGATAGTATTAGTGAACTTTTTTGACGAAGTATCAGTCAATTAAAAGTGGATATAAAGGACGATTGATGCTCTGACGTCATCGTCGTATGATTATCGTGTGCGTCCGCGTGCATGATCGTTCGTCCGTTTGTCTGTTCGTCTGTCTCCCTCCTTGCCTGTCTGTTTTTTTGTTTGTCTGCATATTTGTCTGTTTGCAGTAGTTAAAAATTGAATGGATGTGCATATACTTGTACTACATATAGATGTAGGCTATATTTGAGAGCACAATGATAACGAGAATTGTATTCAACAGGCGTTCAGACGACAAGTCAACGATGTAAAATTTCTTAAAAAGTGAAATTAATAAGCCTATAATATTATTACATAAGAATAAGGACATAAAATAAGCCAATAAAAAATTTTATATTAACAAATGAACGAACTGAATTAGCCTAAAAAACATTTGTTGTATTATATAAATAAATAATGACAAACATACGGTCAAACATGAATACACGCATACAAACAAACGTTCAACATTTCAACATACGCTATGCAAACTTACAAACATACAAATGTTCAAACATGCAAGCATACAAACATGCAAACATACAAAAACGCAAACATACAAACATGCAAACACTAGTTGTGACGTCATTAAAAGAGATCTTCAATGGTACTGTCATAATGCTAAGAAGCTTTAAGGATAATGAAGATGACGATGATGATGATGATGAAGATGATGATGATGGTGACGATGTCTTTACGACGGCGATGATAACAATGATGACTGTATCTCTGATTCGATATGACCAAAATGACGATGATGATGTGATGATGATGACGATGATGGTGATAATAATGAAGATGAGGATGGCAAAATTGTCATGATAATCTAATGTTGTTGTTTATGTTCTTGATGATAAGGTTGACGGGAGGAAGAATAATTATCATAATTGTAAGGAATCATGTTCATACTGGTGAGGATGTTGAGGATTATATGAGCAGCGCTAATAAAAGTTATATTTCTTATTAGTTCCTGACTAAATTGGTATAATGTTGAAAGTATTTGTAGGAAAAAATAACAAAAATTATAACCACAGTTACGGTACATTAATTAATTAATTAATTAATCAATCAATTAATTATTTAATTATTACTAATTAACTAATATAATTTTTAAAATTTATTAATTAATTATTAAAATCGATTACTTTAATATTAAACAAAATTTTTCAATGTATGTCAAAGGCTTAATAGTTTATTGAATTTTTTCATTTAAAACTCATTACCCGTAGCATGTTAATTTACACTTGACTAAAACTGCAGCCAACACCACGATGATATTTTCAGATGTTCCTCACGCGTCCGGTCAATGCACTTTCCCGGAATTTTTGTGGAAGCAATCGAGTCGGGAACATCTGAGCCACATCATCAACTCGAACTTCAAAAATCTCAACCACAACAACTTTTCAAAAACCTGGATCACCGAGGAAGTTCATACATCGAAATCAAGAAAGTTCAAAAGTCGTAAGTTGATCGCGGCCACAAGATCCACTCTGGTCATCAGTGTCCAGGATCAGGGCTTCTGCAAAACTGGAGGCACGTGTGAGATGGAGGAGAGGGTCATCACAACGATGAAGTGCTACAAAGATGTCGGCAACCAAACGTTCAAGGTCATGAGGTCTGACGAGGGGTTCGTTTCGTAGCTGGTCATCTTCTTTCTTGTTCATTCTATTGTGGTAAAGTTGAAATGGACAGAATTAGGTATTTAATGAATGTGTTTTGAAAATTGTACTGAAAACAGTTGATGTTTAAAAATTGAAAACATGGACGAAATGTTTAAACTGGTTGGAGAATATTATTAAAATGTTTTTAAAAATTGATTCCTACTCTGAGACCAGTTGATTATCAGTGCCATTACTTTTCAAGGAGCAGACTGATCCAATACATAAAATCATTTCACAATGAATTCATTGGTGGCGCGGTAGTCTGGAATTTTTGTTTATTTTTCTCTTTAAAATGCCACTCAGTCAAACGCAGAGCTGCTGCTTACATGCTTCTCTTCACTTGTAATTAAACTCTCGTGCCACAAAGGAGGTTGTACATCCACGACGCACGAAGCACGTGCACATAATGTATGTCTTTGAGTTTCGGGCGGACAGTATTCAAACCATGCCATTGCGTAACCGCAGCGCGAGACATGGCACTTCTAACGACTGAGCTAACTCGGTGACCTTGTAAATTTTGGAAATTTGAAAACAAACAACGACCTTTATTTCTTGCAAACGACGTCTCCTCCATTTGACATTTCAAATAACTAAACAACTTTTGAGGTGGGGAGGAACTGAATAAAAATGCAAACTCATGTAGACATTTAATAACAAACTTGTACATTTCTTACCTCCATTTATTAGGCATCACAATAAATTGTTGCGTTATATTGTTGCTTAAAACTGCTGCATTAAACTGCTGCACTAAATCGTTACATTAAATTGTTGCATAACGCTGTTGCTATTAGTTGTTGATATAAATTGTTGCACTATTAAACAGGGACAAGAACTATGTTTGTTACAAGTTTGTTAACAAGTCTGCCAATGTTGTCTTACTGTGGATTTGTGAGTTGCACTTATTTAAAATATTTTTATTACGTTGACCTACCAAATCACTGTTAAGCGTTACAATAAAAAGTCTTCAAACACGTTTGTTGTAAGTTATAGATGTAAAATTTAACAGCTTCCATCTACTTCTAACTAATTAATTTTCAACATTATTTATCAATCTCTACTTAGCCGGTATAATTTTCTCTACTTGATTTAGTTGCGTCAACAATGTGACAGACCACGTTTTATTATTTTGGCAACACTGCCTTTCTCCATTTCTTCGTACAGCCTTTCAAGTTTAAAAGTCTTTCTATTTACTTCAAACGTTCAGTAACATTAACTTGGGGTGGTTCTGTTGGAAAATACTGTTAGTAATTATCAGCGGAATGATTGAAATGCTCTTTCCAGCAATCCAGTATAAAGCGATGGTGAAATGTAATAGTCCGTGAAAAAGTGCATGTGTAATTTTTGTAATTTACTGTCCAACACTAAAAAGTACAATAAGTACAATGTACTTTCCCGACGAAAATTTTCAAACTGTTTTCTGGTGCTAACGAGAAGTTTGATTGATGACTGCCAGGAAGTCTTGTCATTTATTCAAGTTTTTGACGAGGTCCCAATTTATAAAAATCACAAATAAGTTTCGTCACACAAATGACGGACAACAAACTCATCGTCCTCTATCATTCGTATCTTTTTTCATTTGAAAAACTATTATTTCTGGATTTCTGGTAATTTAATGAGTGTTGTAGATGGAAAGAATTAAATTCATTCGAAGACAAATAAGCAAACCCAACATGTGCTAGGGCCAGTTGGAATCGCGTGAAACTAATAATGTTTAATGGAATTTGTGTGGTAATTTCTAAACATGAACACGTTGCAAGTAATGTATATTTTGTAAATTTGTTTTTTTAAACATTGTTTAGTCGGCTATCATCACACTCCAAATCTTTGTAATCTAAAAATTTTAAAAACATTTCAAAATTATTACTGGATCTTATACGCACCCATGTATTAAATAAATCACACAATTCAAGTGAATTTATCCATTCACATTCAGTCATGCACGCACTGAATTACGCACATCCAATCACATCCAACTACTCACATCCAATCACGCAATTCATCATTCCCAAAAATCTAATCACTTTAAACCAATTCCTCATTCAGTTCCACTCATCCAATCATACACACACATCCAACCATTCACATCCAATTACACACAGATTCAATCACACACACACACACACACACACACATTCAATCACAACACATACGCGTTCAATCATTCACATCTAATTACACACACACGCCACACACACGCACACACACAGAGATATTCAATCACAGAAATTCAATCACACACAAACGCACGCACGCACGCTCGCGTATTTAAACTGGCATTGGTATACTAGCGTTATCAGGGCAACACAACACTGCGAATTAACCTCCTGTGTGTTTTCACGCATCACTGCCCCGCAGCCAAGCCATGTGATAGCGACATCGCCATACTCTGCGACAGTCTCGACAAGAGGCAGGAGTGGCCGTGGATTGGTTAGTTTCCATTTTATCATTACATCAGGTTTCTTATATTTCAGAATTTTATTATATAAATTAAGTTTTTCCATTTCAAAATTCTTAAATCAGATTATTTATATTAGAGAATTTTATCACTAAATAAAATTTTTAGTATTCTGTGATATTGAATAGCGTCGTAAAGTTTTGTCTTGTATAAACATTGTATTGTTTCCGTAGTTTGGTGAAAAGATAAACTTTATAATTTGACATTAACGAGTTTAATTAAAATTCTAATTTTTGTTTTAATTTTGTTTGATCATCAGCCATCATCAATATGAACCACCACAAAATGGTAGCAGAGAATCACCTACATGAGCTGTGTTAGATACAAACAAGAATCACAAACCACTAGCGGCAAATAATTTAATTGATTGAAAAAATTAAATTCAACAGCAGAATCTCAAGCATTTTGTATGATTAAACAACTAAAATAACCGCCCCAAATAATTTATTCCATTTTTTATTATCGAGTTTTAGCGGTAAAAATTTTGAAATGAAAAATGTACATTTGATGTTGCTTACCACGATTACGTTCGTCAATGAAGCGACATATTAAACCGCCAACAGTCGCAGATTCAGTTAAGAAAATTATTATATAAAATTCAACACTACTTGAATAGACTTGTTTCAGAAACGCTGGTCCATGCCCTGATAACATTCCAACTAGATTACTGTAGCAGCTTGTTTTTTAAGATGCCTGACAAATCAGTTGGAGCGATTCAGTCAATTCAGAATCGGGCTGCAAAATTAGTAATGAAGAGTTTGAAATTTGACCATGTGATCCGCTTTTGAATGAACTTCTCTGGTTAAAAACCGATAAAAGAATAATCTATAAAATTGGTGTACTAGTCAAGTGTTTCGTTCATTGCATCGTTTGGCAACTGAGTATTAATCAAACAAGATGATTCGCAAAACAGTTTTTTAAAGAACATTTTTAAATTCTAGTATAGCATGAACCTGCCAGTCGAACCAACCTGAGACTAATTTACAGGTTGGGATGCGCGATGTTGCTATTGCTGGTCCTTGTGTTTGCAACGGCCTTCCGACGATGCTGAAAAGTCCAGATCTTTCTCTTTTTTTGTTTAAACATGAATTGAAGACTTTTCTGTTTTCATCAAATTGGCAATTTTGTGTTTAATTGAGGATTGATGACTTTTTTTCATTTTCAGTCAAACTGACAATGATTTATCTTGTTTTTAACTTAATCAGTTTCAGTTTAATTTTTATTTTAAGAGTGCTTCTGAGATCATTTTTTTATTGGCACTACATAAATAAATTCTTAATGATAATAATAATAATGTTCATTATAATGATGATGATAAGCGATGGTGTGGTGTTGATGATGATGATTACGATTTTGATCATTATTATTATTATTATCTTTTTTATTTATTGTTATTATTATTATGAAGAATAGTGATAATGATGATGCCGATGATAGTGTAATTGATGAAAATGAAGACGACGACGATGATGATGATGAGGAGGAGGAGGATGATGCCGATGTCGATATGGACGATGATGATGATGATGACGATTAGAAAACAATCAAACGTTCATTTCGTTCTGTTCAATGAACACTAATGAATAACGTAACAGTGCCATACAATCTGCTCTTCTCAGTCCGTGCAGATATTTGTCTTTCTATCTGTCTGTTTGTCTGTCTGTTTGACTGTCTGTATCTCTCTGTCTGTCTATCGCTTTGTATTTGTGTCTTTGTCGGTATTTGTCTGCATCTGTCTGTTTGTTTGTATCTGTCTCCATTTGTCCGTTTGAGTGTATATTTTGTTATTTCGTTTTTTGCATTTTACTTTTGAAATCTGCTTTTATATCCTGCTCTCGTGCTAAAGTTCGGAAGACGGAATGCAATCATCAGCCTGCTTGCGTGTTTATATTTGCACTATTTAAAATATTGATTGTTTTTTATTATTTAAATTTTAAATTAATTAATATTGCAATTAAAGAGCCAAACTTTTGTGCATGTTTTGAAGTTTTCCACACAAAAGTATATCAACCATAAATTCTACCATCGTTGTAATTAAATTAAATTAATTGAAAGAATAAATTGGAAGAGAAGATCTCTTCAGCTATTTACAGTAATTTCACATCCAGTATAATGCTCAACGAACAACATTTTTTGAATTCTAAAGGCTCAAGTTTTATTAATTTTTTAAAATTTATTAAAAATATAATTTATTCCGTAGAGTTGCTTATACTGCGATTCTTGATGCAGTGTCCGGGTTCGAATGTAAAGAGATCCCAAACCAAAAGTCCCATGCAAAAGTTGATTCACTTGCATTTACACAATGTGTGTTTGTCGTAATAATTTTGGAGGAATATCTAAGAGAGAATAATAATAATAATAATAACGTTTATTTTTTACATGTTTACTTTTTATTCATTAATTTTAATACAATTTCATTGTCTATTTGCACTGTTCACAAGCCTTTGCAGCCATTAAGTGGAGTGCATCGTGGGGGAGGAATATTTAATGGAACATTTTAAAGGTATATCTGAACGGCACGAAT